CGATCATGGCCGCCACGCTCGCCGCCGCGCAGGACGCGCTGTTCGCGTCCGACCAGTGCCTGACGCCCGCGCCGGTGCTCGCGGCCGTGGACAGCCTGGCCGACATCGCCGCGGTGACGCCGCCGGAGATCCGCCTCTTCCTGGCGCTGCTGCTGTCGTACCCGGTCGCGCTCACGTGGCGCGCGCTGCCGCCCGGCCCGTCGGGGCTCTTCCGCCACGTCTTTTCGGTCGTCGTCGGCACGTGGATGCTGCAGTTCGTCAACGGATACCAGGCCCTCTTCAACGTCGCGTCGTGCCTGCTGTGCTACGCCCTCATGTGGGCCCTCGGCCCGCGCAGTGCCCGCCTTGTGTCCTTCGTTGCCATGGCCATCCTCGCCGCCGGCCACTTGTACCGACAGATCACCGACTACCTCGGATGGACCTTGGATTGGACCCTCGTCGCTATGGTCACCACGCAGAAGCTCATGGGACTGGCGTATAACGTCCAGGACGGCGCGGACCCGGACGCTACCAAGGAGCAGAAGGCGAGGTCCGTGGAGAAGCTCCCGTCGCTGCTCGAGTTTCTCAGCTTTATTTTGTTTCCGGCCAATGTCACCATTGGTCCGGCCTTTGAGTATGCTGATTACAAGGCCTTTGCCGAGGGCACCAAGGTCTCGCCCTCGCCCTACTTGCCAGGCATCTGGCGCCTCGTGCAGGGCCTCTTCTTTTTCGTCGCCCACACGGCCCTCTCGCTCCAGTTCCCAGCCACCACCATGCTGACCGATCCCAAATATATGGCGTCGGGCTCCTTGTTGACACGGTACGCAGCCGTGTGGGTCGCATTGCTCGCTGTCAGGTTCAAGTACTACTTTGGGTGGAAGATTGCCGAGGGCTCGGCGTGCATGTCCGGCCTGGGGTACAACGGCGTGGACAAGCTCACGGGCGCTGCACGGTGGGACCGCGTCGAGAATGTCAACGTGTGGAAGTACGAGACGTCACAGTCGTTGCGCACGTCGTCGCAGAACTGGAACAAGACCACCAACCTGTGGCTGCGACGCTACGTGTACGACCGCGCCCCGCCGTCGGTCAACCTGTACTTCACCTACCTCGTGTCTGCCTTCTGGCACGGCTTCTACCCGGGCTACTACCTCTTCTTCCTCTCCGTGGCGGCGGCCACGGTGGTGCACCGCCAGGTGCGTCGCACGATCCGGCCGCGCTTCATGCGTGCGGATGGCAAGACGGCCGGGCCGCTCAAGCCCGTGTACGACGTGGCGTCCGCCGTGGCGACGAGCCTCACCGTCAACTACTTTATCATGTCGTTCGTGATGCTCGCGCTGGACTTGTCCATCGGGGCGTTCCGCCAGTTTGGGTTCTACGGGCACTGGGTCCTCCTGGCCACGCTGGTGATCTTCAACTCCGGCCTCATCAGACCGCCGGCCCGAAAGCTCGCTTCGAAGGAGCGCTAGTTGGAGAGTGCTTTTTTTTGTTTGTTGTTCACTTGTACTTTTTGTTTCACGCCCGTGTTGTCCCCCTCACCTCGCCCATTTTGTTTTTAGCCGCGCGGCTCGCCCACCACCTGCCTGCTTTGTTGCAAGCAGCCCTGTCATCGTAAACAATCGATATACTTTTTCTTCCGTTCTTGAATCGGCATTTGCGCCAGTGAGTGGTTGTCGCCAATCTGGCCCCACGTGGAGGGAGAACAGATATTTATGACTCTCGACAGATATTGTGACTCTGGACAGATACAGAGTCCATCCCCACCGCGGAAGATTTTCTATCTCTATTGAGGGCCATTCCATTCATCGTGATTGGCAATCACGCAATCACGCAATCACGTCAATAAATGGTGGCTGCTCCCTTGTGGTTGGTTGTTTATATTACGTTTCCTAAAAAATGGTCATGCTCATTAAAGAAATAAACAATCGACTTAAAATTAATCTTGTGCTCCAACTTGCAGAAAGACGTTAAATTAATGTCGTGATCGCGTGATTGCGTGATTGCATGATTGCCAATCACGATGAATGGAATGGCCCTGAGGTATGATAAGCCCAAAATTCTGGTTACAGATTTTGCGCAACATTACAGCACAAATCTAATCTAAACGGTAAGAGAATCCTTTAGATTAGATAGTGAAATGCCTCTATATTCTGGAAATTTAGAGTCAGTCTGGAGTCTATTGGTCGAATAGAGACTGGCAATAGATACCCACGTGTGCATTCTGTATGTTTTTCATTGGCCATCGCGCGCGCCTTCTTTGTGCAGAACACCTGGAAGAACTTCGGGGAGTGTGCAACAGTGCGTGCACGTGAGAGTGCGCAACTTGTGTTTCCCGCCGGCGCGCTTTCCGCGTCTCCCGCGCTTTCCGCGTCTCCCGCGTTTTCCGCGTCTCCCGCGTTTTCTGCGCCTTCCGCGTCTCCGGCGCTTTTCGTTGGGCGATTACAGTACAACATGGGTCAAGGAGGTGCAGGTGTGCGCAATGAAAGCAGGGGGGCCACGGCGTAGAGGTGAGAATAGTGTGGGGCGTGGGCGAGTGTGGAGCGCTTAGGAGAACCAGCATCTAGCTAAAAGCTGGATTGCAACATCGTGCGACCCGATTCACGGGACGGATCAAAAGGCCACCGTATTCTACAAGGGCGTAATGAAACGCTTCGCAGAGTATGGTGCATCCACTTCATCGGGCGTCTCCAGCGGTCGCTACGGCCACCGGGCTGAGGCGGCGGTTCGCCAACACTGGTTTGAAATATCCGCTGGGTGTTCAAAGTTCAAGTCCTGCGTGCGACCAGTGTTGGCCTCTGCTCCAACCGGAACTACGGAAGGGGAGAACGAGGCAATGGCGGTCGCGATTCAGTTAGGGAGGGCGAAACTAATGGACTACGAGAATAAGAGCTTTGACCGCCATCAGTGGCCGCTCTTCCTGGCTTAGAGGGTGCTCTCTGCTCACCCTAAATGGTCTCTGCACACTGACCACGTGAGTGTCGACGGTTCAGGGGGCGATGACAACAGCGAGGGCGACAGCGATGATGGTGATGATGGGGCTGGCCCCGGAGCCTCCGGCGCACCCACCCCGTCGTCGAGCGGCGATCAAGACCCCAGCCCGGCTCCGAGAGGTGCGACTCCAGTGCCTGATGCCATGCCTTTCCCGGGCAGCCCTGAGCCGATTGGTAACAAGCGGCGCGGCGGAGCCCTCGACAGGAACGCCGCGAAGGCCGCGCGCTTAAGCAGCCACGCGGACCCGGCAGTCGCTGCATCCATGCAGGTGATGGCGCACGTGCTCACCCGGAGGGTGGATACTGCGGACAAGCAGCAAGACCGATCCGAAATGAGCGGGCTAGAGGACCTGGCAGCGGAGAGGGGCCGTCACGAGGCGCGCGAGGACCGAAGCGCCGTTGCCATTGTGCAGGCCACAATTGCAGCGGCGTCGCTGACAAAGCCCACTGATGAGGATGGCCGCTCGGTCGCCAACATTCTGCCGATGCTTCGCAAGAAGCAAGAGAGCCGTCTGCAAGCCGCGCTGTCCGCAGATGGGCTCGGTGGCGACCACACTGCGGGGTAGGGGGGCCGGACTGTCTCCTTTGCTCCTGATGGGTGTCAGCATAGTCTTTCTTTTACTCCTCGCCCCGCTGAGCACGCCCTACTCCTATGTCTCTGCAATAAAATCTACGAGCGACGGCCCTCGTGATCCTAAATGTGCTTCATGAGCTTCCAGGTCAGCTCCCTGTGCGCAGCAGAGCACGTCACCTCCTCCTCGCGGCTCAGAACTTGCGCAGCCCACATCCCATCAGACAGTTCGCCAGAGGTTTCAAGCGCTTGCTGTGATTGCCACCGAAATATCTGTGACACGCCCTCCGAGGACAGCCTCGCCTCTTCAGACTGCATCAGATGCACCATTCCCGGCTCGTAGCTGTTCCGCCGGGCCTCTACGGTCATGTTGTGCAGAATGACGCAGCATTTCACAACGGCCGCAATGTCATCTCGGTACCACAGGTTGATGGGCTTCGCGACTATTTGAAACTGCTGCACGAGCACACCAAACGCGCGCTCAACATCCTTGCGCACAGCCTCTTGCGCCTGGGCGAATGCAGACTGTTCTGCAGATTGTGGGCTTTTGAACGTCTTGATGAAGATACGCCAGTTGGGGTATATGCCGTCCGCCAGGTAGTACGGGAAGCTCATCGCCTCGCTCCCAATTTTGTAGCCAATCTTCGGCGGAAACATCCCCTTCATGACGCCCGAAAGTGTCTACGAGGAATACATGCCAAAACCATTGCTCGGCGTCCGCAATTGCCTCTAATATCAGCGTAGGGCTCTTCTCTTTCCCTTGAAACTGCCCGGCCCAAGCCTTTGGGCAGCTCCTCCACCTATAATGCTGGCAGTCGATCGAACCGATGCAGCCCGGAAATCCGCGAGCAGCGTTGATGGCCATGATGCGCCTTAGATCTGACTCAGTCGGAGCGCTAAGGTACTCGCCCCCAAACGCGGCCACCACGCTTTTCGAGAACTCCTTAAGCGAAATCAGAGCGCTGGTTTCGGACACCCGGCAGTACTCATCCACGACATCGCCGTCTACGCCTGTCGACAACATGCGCATTGCCGCCACGATTCTCTGCAGCGGGTGAATACCGGGGACCCCTAAGGCATCGACGCGCCGCCCGAACACGCTGCTCCCCTCAAGGGCAGACCTCACCCTTTCAAACACCTGCCTTGGGACCCTAAACCTTCTTTCGGAGTCGTCGATACTGTATACACAACCTTCTGCGAAATAGTCATCAACGATTCGTTCCGCCCCCCAGTCAAAGCCGAGCCGCTTGTTCACTCTCCGGCCATGTGTGGAGCCACGATGCCAGCGCGGAGGAAGCCCTATGCCCCGGCTGCTGGCGCTCAGAAATGATACCGCCGCGACCACCATCTCATCATCCTCGCTGTCATCGTCGTCGTGCACGCTAGCGAGTGCTGGCTGCTGCTCACCGCCGCTAGAGCTTGATAGCGAGCCCATGGACTTCCTCATCTCCTCACACTCACGGCCAAGCCAGTTCCAATCGATAAGTGCTTCATTGGGCTCCGCCATGCTCGCTCCTTGTGGGCTCGAGGTTGCGAAGAGAATAGACTTCTTTTCCGCGGTAATGTTCAAGTGCCGATCGGCATCACTTAGATTAGAGACTATCTAACTCGAATAGAGCTGTAATTTTGACCGGCATTACACTCCGCAATCTGCCAATGGCCAAGCAACAAATGTGTGCTATAGAGATAGATAATCTTCCGCGGTGGGGATGGCCTAAAGAAGATGATTGGAGAACCACGAGTGACTGTATGACGACTCATAATCGCCGACCTACTCGGATCGTTTACAACAAAAAAGGGTTCAAATTGGGACAGCGCGGAGATCCCCAATTTCATGTAGAACTCGCCATATTCATCAACAGCAACGCCGCCTCGCCATCACTTCCTGTCGGCGGACTGCGCGAAGCTGAATCAATGCCAAGTATACTGCCAACGCCTTGCTTTGCAACCTTTGCGCGCTTTACCAGACCCTTCCCAGCACTCCTCCCCTCTTTCTCCATTGCTCGCTTTTTTTGAGTTCTTCCCTTGCCAGGCGAGCAAGCACTCGCTCTGTCTGATCCAACACCTTCTGCCTCGCGCGCTCCTCCTTCTGCAGCTCTTTATTTTTTGCCGCCGCCCGTGCTGCCTCCTCCTTCTTTCTAATCTGAACGAGGTTCCCAACTGTCAAGCAAGCGGCGGGTGCCCCACATCCAAGAACCTTCTTCGTGCTCTTAGCCCCACTCACAGTAAGCACAGGCATTATTCCTCGCAGTATAGAACTCACTGTTTGGGTCTCCCCGAGAACCCTCGATATCGCTTCAATGGAAGCACTGGGCGGCGACTCATTCCCTACAATCCGCTTGATGTCTTCAAACGTTCGCGCATCGCTGCGACGAAGGCAGACGCTGGTCAACCGATTTGCCGGTCCTCCATTAGTAATGCCCTGGACCTGCTCTTCGACTTTCTGTACTTCCCCTTTTCGTTCCCTCATTCTGTTTGCGAAACGATAATCTACAGGCCGCATGCTAGTGTTAATAAATGAATCGCGAACGTTCTGAGCATAAATTGCCGCGTGTCCAGCGACCGCCAGTTTTATCTTGAATCCAGTCGCGTGCACATTCGTGGCGGCCATTCCCATGAGATCATCCCTGGTTTTTCTCACTGCCCTTTGGAACGTTTTGTTGATTTCGTCGTCACAAGGCTGCCAGAAGTGGGTATTGTTCGCTGGCAACAGAAGCACCTCAATGTTGCGTTTCTGCACCTTCTCCACCCATTCGATGCCATTGCGAGAGGAGTGTCCATCAAGGAAGAGCGCTACTCCTACGTCTCGATGGACGATCTGCCGCACATATTTATCAAAATGCTGGATAAACATTGGAAGCGTCTGCTTCTAGATAGATCCATTTTGAGTGCACCGAAGCACAAATACGCTTGGGAACCACCCCGATTCTGCCAGCCAGTGTGGAGCCCCATTATCATGTTTAAAAAAGGTTCGCGGTAGCGGTTTGATCCAATCTTCCATTATATCATTCCCCGCGGCAATGCAGAAAAGTGGTGCCACATGTCCACTGGCAGAAGCTGCAAGCACCGCTGTGACGTGTTTCCCGGAACCCGTTTGCACCGACTTAAATCCACCGTGGTGAGAACTTGCGTTAGTAAAGGTTTTTATGCGACGACCGAACTCCCCTTCTACGTGCGTTTCGTCCATATTCCATAGTCTTTTCGGATCGTTAAAAATTCCGGGATGCCTTCTTTCGACATCAGCCATACATTTGGCAAAAGTGTTGACATGTTCAAAATTTTCCGCACCAAGCTTTGCAGCATCTTTGTTTTCTGCTTTGCGATAGGTTATATCACGATTCAGGGCTCTATATGTACGTATTGCAGCATCAGAGGGAGTGGAGTTCTTGTATACAGGCCTACCATCAGCTGCCAATTTTTGTAAAGTGGCTTTCATTGTGTTCTTGTCGACCGAAAACCCATGCAAAGCGGCACTTTTTATTTTATCGTTGAGCATTACAGCCTCCTCAAGTGTCCATACTGTCTTTTTACCAGGCCGACTGTTAGCAGGGTCATGCATCTTTGCAAGGGACTGGTGGTATTTTGCGTTAATACTAGTTGCAATGCGTCCTGCAGTTCCTTTTGAAATTCCACAAATGTCCGCAACATGGCGGACAGAATGCTTCTTGCGCATCATTTTGGCTGCTTTTTTCTCCTCTCCGCTAAATCTTGGTCACGTACCTGTCTACGGATCGCTAGAAGCGTTTGATACCGCATCGAAAGAGGCATCTCGAGGCAATCCTGCGGTTGATGGCGGTCAATCTATCGATTTGTACCACTCCCTTTGTAGTATAACTACAAAAAAATTAGATTAGAAATTGGATCCGGCTCTGTAAGGCACGAACCTTACAGACAGCCGGTACCACACGTGTACGGGGGCACGCGCCCCCACGTGTACTATACGTGTACGACACGTATACAGTCAGCCCCGTCGGCTGACAGTGCCGACTACAGTAGTGCCCCATAGTACAGTACGTACTGTACTAAGTTACGATAGACTAATTGTACATTTAATGACGGAGCGGACCGGCGGCGGCGAAGGGGACAAGCACGGACTTGTCCACGACCGACCGCCTAGGTCTGACTTCCAGCTTATCCTAAGGAAGCTTCCGTTAGCTACCTTAAGGCGAGACCGAGCGCGGGTAGAGGACGCGCGAGCACGCGAGCGAGCCTAGATCCACCTCCGCCCGTCAGCGCTGGAACGTAACCCAGCGCTGCTCCGGGGCGTCGAGGCGTAGATCGGCCCGCGCGTGTGCGCGTCCTCCCCCCGATCCCGCTCTACCACGCTACCCGGGCCCGTGCTCCGGTTTCGTTAGCTGGTCCGCCTTCCCCCGTCTTCTCGTACGTACGGGTCTTCCAGGACTAAGCATACACCCCTATCCGTTTAGGGGTGTTTATGCTACAGTGGTCTCCCGACCTAGAAGACCCCGAGATCTTTCCGAGAAGACTTTCTTTTTCCTCCGCGTCCGTACGCGTCGAGATGAGTCAAGAATACGGCCCCTCGATCCGCTCCGAACCGGCGGATCCGAGGGCGGCCGCTATGCACGCCCCATCACCGCCGTTCGGCGACGGCGACGCTGGTCTCCCAGACCGCGAACCGTCGCCCGAGTCGCCCGAAGGACAAGCGGCTGCGATGTTCGACCGCATCGCAGACTACATCGAGGAAGTCCGTACTTCCCTCTGCATCGACGTTACGGACGCCGTCTATTCGCGCTGCATGGACGAGCTCCGATCCATCCGCGAGGGGAGGTTCGACCGCGTCACCCAGTCGCTGGAGAATCTCCGGGCACTGGTCGACCAGTTGCAATCGCGACTGGTGCTCGTCGAAGACTCGCGTCCCGAGAACCCCGCTACGTATGGGGAAGGTCGTCTTGCGAGGCCGACCTCATCGAGACGTCCTGACGCTCGTCAACCCCCCTCGGTGGAGCAACTTGGTGCCTTCGCGCACCTCACCGCTGACCTGGAGTCCACGCGGCAGCGTGCCCGTGACCTGGAACGTACCATGGCCGCAAGGCTGCCCGGTGCCCCCACGAGAGGGCCCGGTGGTACTGTACCTCCGGACGCTACCGCCCCGCAAGGATGGCGCCCAACTGTGGCCGATCCCAGTCGAGACGCAGGAGAAAGACGACCTCCGATGGACGCCAACGTCGCGTCCGAGTCCCAAGCTCTGCCACATGTCCCCGGAAACATGTGGCAGACGGGACGGGTGCCGTATCGTAACGACCCGGACCGTGGAGTAGCCGCTCGCGGATCCGGAGAACCCATGTTCTCCGTCGATCCCCGCTGGGGCGGCTACCCGCCGGTGGACCACACCGCGCGACCCGGACCGGTAGACGTCCGTACGCTACCCGTTACCCCGTTCGGCACGCTGGGTCCCGCTGAACCCGGACTCGAGCCGGTACATACGATGATCTAAGAGTTCAGCGCCGTCGCTGACTATCGTATGTACCGCTTGGATAACACCTCGAGGATCGTTACCGCGGGTGATGCGGGACGGATCGCGAAATACGTACAACGCTGTCGTGGGATCCGTCCCACGATGCGTAGCTTCGACGGTACGGACCCGATCCAGCTGCTGCCGTTCTTGAAGGATATCCGGATAACCTTCAACTCGCAACACCTGACGGAAGGTGTTGCGGTACGAGTTCTCGCGCACTTCTTAGAGCGCGATGCGGAGCGCCTGTATACAAGTTATACGATGCGTGGCCTCCGCGCCGGCCAGCTCCACGACGACTTGAGCTGGCCGGGGCTCGTAAATCAACTCTTGAAACGCTACCTCACGGACGACGTGTTAGGTGAAGCGTACGACGCTGTCGCTACGGCGCGACAGAAACCCCACGAAACGGAGAGCACCTTTGCGGACCGGTTAGAAACTGCCGCGTTCCGGTGCACGGCAGTGTTCTCCGAACAATCCCTCGCGCACTACTTCGTGCGGGGACTCGCACTTGCGACCCGTGCCGCAGTTTCCGAGACCGTTCAGCGGCTGCCAAGCAGCCAGAAGACCGATCTACCGACCATCCGCCGCATCGCCACGGCGGAAGGGACTACGTACCGCGCCCGGCGCGGGTTACTCCTGCCGGACCCGAAACCGGCAGGGAAGGCTGGCAGGACTACGAAGTCCGCCGTAACAAGTTCGCCCGCTTCTACCCTCCATGTCGGGGAGGATGAGTGGCAGGCTGACCCTGTCCTCATTACGCAAGGAGCAGGGCCCGTGGGAGGACCACCTCCCACGCCGATGTCGACCGGAACGACATCCAGTTACGCGACCGCCTTCGCGCACACTCCAAGAGTGGCAAGGGGTACGGACCCCCGGGTCGCAGAGCTCGACATCTCGAATCGAGATGCAGGAGCCGAAGCCCCTCGCGTACCCCTCCTCACTGATGAGGAGGCGCGCCA